AGGGAACGTATATTCCCCACACTTTACATGTTGCACTCATCGATGTTCCATGTACAAAAGCATGGATTATTAGATGCTGCTAAGAGCCACACAAAACCCGTCTCTGTCCCAAAGTTGCAGAAGTATGCGACTCTGAAGGAGTCTGATATATAAAAAAAAAACAGACAATGAAGAAAAAAACCACCAAAAATAAAACAGGTTCAAGCACCGTGCCTTTAAATAATGAGCTCTTCTCTTCCAGATGATTTTAATAAGCCCCAGCACATGTGCTGTAACCCCTTGATGCAGTACAATATGAATAACCAAATAAAAGATCTCTCCAGATTTTAAGATTTACTGTTTGTGATGGGAAAAGGCCAACCAGATGACATCATTATACTTCAAATGCAAGTCACTGCCAAGTTCGGTAATACTAAACCATAGAAATTGATCCTTTATGGAGGGGGGGGGTTGTGAAGAAATGAATTTTGGCTTCAGTGGCAATTTTTTCCCCTTTTGTTATTTAAGTGCAACATTTATGTTTAACAAGCTTCAATTTGACTTAAAGCTGGAGCCAGAAAACCATATTTTTATAGGTTATTTAGTTTCAGCCATCTGCTTAATTGGAAATAATTGAGTTTGACAATTTAAGGGTTAAAAGTCAACAGGCTGTGTTGGGTTATTCACAGAGAGCCAGGTTCTGGCTCAGGAAAAACTGCCGGCAATTCAGTGGGAGTTTGCCTGAGCAAGGAGTTAGCAGGACTTCAGCATTTGGCACACAGCATGGAAGGTGGAGTTTTGTTTGCATTTAGTGGAATAGCATGGCTTGAACCTATCCGTACTTATTTAGCAACAATGTCCTTTTGTTATAAGACATCTGGCTTTCTGGAAATTCAGGCTGTGATATTCATCTCAGTCAACCCCATGGAGTATAGTAATAATATTTTGTAGGCATGTATCAACCTCCATCAAGGAATCTCAAAGAACACTACTACTATTAATGATGAGACATACTATTTTAATGAGATCCAATGAGTATTATTATATCCTGTTTTGAATTGAGTAAACTGAGTCCCAGAAAGCTTAAGTCCCTAGCCCAAAATGCACAGTGACTCAGAGATGGAGCTGGACCTAAAACCACAAGTTATCATTCCCACGCCCCTGCACACCATTACTTTAGCACTCTTCACCTAGTTGTTGTGTTAGAAAGCTTTCTGCTGTAGGTAACTTCTGTAATTTAGTATCAGATCCTTACTAAGGCTGAACTTCCATGTACCAGCTCCAAGGTAAGCGGATTCAACACTGTGACCCGAAATTATTCTTCAAGACATTCTCCACAGACTATTGTCACATGTTCGAGAACAAACTCATAGGGCAAACACATTTCTGTGAAAAGCAAACACACACAAAATACGCTGCTTCCAGGCTCTTCAGAGAGGAAGCCCCAAACTGTACAAATAATTGATACTCTTACATGTCTAGTGCTGCGCTCATGAAATGTGCTCAGCGCACAGATTACCAAGAACATTGCTCTTTTCTAATGTGTGTAAATATTACTGAACATCCAATAGACTTACTAAAATCAAGTCCTATACCATGTAGCTTTGTTGGCTTGAGCCCCTAATTATTAATTCACACATCTCTGTGATCTGTTTGTCATGCAATAGTTTGGCTTTTTTGATTTGCCTCTTATCTATAAAGTCAGATGGACAGGGCCCTATTGTTCTCTGGAGCCTACCATGATTAATCCCCCTTTAGCTATGCTGATAGCTGACATATGTTGTCAACAATGGGTAAATCTCCTCATGGAGACATGGTTTTTCTTAACACCAATGGAGGGACGACTATAGATACTCTTGAAGAGACAACAGACTAAAATCATGCTAACTGCAATGAAACCTCTTGGATGCACGACTGAGAAGACCCAGAAGTAGTACCTAGTCAATGATCTGTACCGAGAATCCAACTTCACCTTATCTTTCAGTACGTGCAGTTTCAACCAACTCTTATCGTTATCTTATTTCACTAATGAAAAGCTAGATGTGATGCATGCTTGCTTACAGCCGCAAGAATGTATAAGGTGTATACATACTGACTTTGCAACTTGTTTCTCACATTGTAAAATAATATTATGAGTTGAGTTAATTATCCCTGAAATGGTTGAAGTCACCCTTCACTCTTGAAAAGTGTAAGAAACAATGAAGCTCTTCTATGAAATGAAACAACAGCGGCCTCCACTCAAAGCATAAGGTAATATCACCGCTCGCAACAAAGGCGCAGGAAGGTACACACGAGAGGATTTGCTGGGGATTGTTCTAGGAGAAGTGAACGCATGTCTCTGTGATAGAAGAAAGAGAAGCATTAAATAACATGAAACAGAGGCAAAAGAAAGCCAAAGAAGTACCCAGGACAAGTACTGAGAGTGTGACCCCCAATAAAAGCCTTGAGCAAGCTTCCAGGCCAAGTGGTGGCTGGAGAAGACCTTGAAAACATGAGCAAAGAAATCAACTCCTATTTGATCCCTGCTGTGTTCAAGGAAACTGAATTCTGCTCATTCTTTGGAAAGAAACAAATTTGCATCATAGAAAACCCTGGCTCCAACTTCAGTTTCTTTTTCTGACCAAAAAATTTGCTAGATCCCAAAGTCTGACTGACTTCTCAGGTAGTTAGTCAACAGTGGTAAGAGGTATCAGTGTCTCTAGCTACTGTGAAAACCACAGTTCTAACTGGAGACCAATTAGAAGTAGATGCCTATTTTAGGAAGTTTGTATAATCCTTCATAGGAGGCTTCTAGGAAGACCAATCCTTGGAAAATTTACACGCCTACACAGACTGACTTCACCCAAGCCTCACTGTTGAGGGCCATCGGTGAAAGGCAAGGCCTCGGGAAACCTGCACCCCAAACCTAAGAGGAAAGGGGAAGTATTTGCTATGCCTCTGCACCAGTTGCTAGTGCAAGAAACTGGAGTACACAGGACTCCTTCAAACTGAGCAGAAAATAGGCTAGCTGGTAGTCAATATTGTTTAGAAACTCCCACAAATTTACTAACGCGCACATGCTGTTTAAAATAGAGTGTTCTGAAGGCAGTTATCTGTCTTGTTTTATATTAAATCTTCCACTTGGCTTGGCGGAAACCTCCCCTAGAGACAAAAGAGAAAGGAAGAATGGAGAAAGGGGGTTCATATATCCAAACAAACTGGAGAATGGGCCTGTAGGGTAGACATAAGGAATAAAGGCATGACTTTGGGAAGGGTCTTTGCTATTACAACAAAGGGCATTTTTTGGCATTTTATTTTTAATGGTACATGACTCCATTTGGAAATCTAATCCTAGTGCATGTGAGAGAGAGAGCCAGATTTTCGGTGGGCTGCACGGTTTCAGTACTACAAGGCTCAGGGTCAAGCGGATGGTGAAGTAACTATTAAAACAGCTTCCTCCACCAAGGATAACAGACAGGTGAGGAAAAATATAATGGATTTTTCCAGTGTCATATAGCCTTAAATTATGGTCCTGATCCCAAACTCAACAAGGTCATTTGCCAGCTGTCCACAGACATCAGTGGGCTTTCTGCTAGGCCTAATATCAGTGTGAAAGAGTGGAGAAAATGGAGAAAATGAAAGTCCTAACTCCTATGCACTTTAACCTATATTCCTTGGGCACCCAGCGGAAGATCTGCTTCCATAAGGAATGGATGATTAGATCCCAGTATGTGTGAATTCAGGGATATCTCAAGCAAAGTAATACAATAAAAATAATGCTCCATGATGCCACGCTGCTTGCTTATAGAGAGTAATTACTTCTATTGCGTTGCCAAAAATCCTGGTCTTTTGCCTTAGCTTGAGTTTGAATTGAGTGATGCTCTGTTTTAATAGAAGTCTTGAATTTGGAAGCATCCAAATAAAACATGAAATGTGGTCATAAATATGTTTTCCCTTGTTTTGAGAGAGACAGCAAAGGGAAGTTTGGAGAATGTTCCCATTTTTTCCTTCACTGAATAACTTGAAAACTGAAAGAGAGTCTGTGTGTCCATCCTTTGGATTATTGTTTTATTTAGAGCTATGCAAAGAACCATGTTTTAATTTGGTGGGAAAACCTATATCTATCTATCTATCTATCTGTCTATCTCTATAGATATAGAATATTGTGTTATATCTATAAATATGGATATAGATTTATAATATTGTGTTACCCAAAATAAAGATTTTTTCCCAATGTCAGTGTTGTTTATTAACCATTTTAAATTTAGGTCAATCTTGAAAAATATAGTTTCAAAACAAATAGTTGAAACATTTTGTTTTGCAAAATGCCAAAACAGAATTTGCAACAACTGCATTTTTTTTTACCATGTAATGTGTCACAAATGTGGGTCAATATTGGCAAATAGTTTCAGTCATTTTGTAACTGTATTGTTTCAGAAAAATGTACAATTCACCAGAAAAAAAAATCCTGCCAGATTTAATATTATTTTTAGATTGAAAATCCAGTAAAAACTTCACTGATATTTATTTACATCTATATTCTCTGATGTTATTTAAAAGATGGAAATATATTATTTTTAAGACACCAGAAGCAATCTAAATCAACTTCCTATTTTTTCTGAACCAATCATATCAAAATACCAAAATCATTTAAAGTTTATGCAGAAGAAAATCAGAGTATTTAAAGTTTAAAATTAAAAAAAAATCTTCAATATATTTGTTAAGATTAAAGTAATAGTTAACATTTTTCTTCACAGGTCAGAAAGGTTAGTGGGAAGATGGAGATGCATATATCTATAGCTATTTGAACAACAAACTAAGTGCTCTTTAGCGCATATAGAGAAACCCAGCAGAGGACAACCGAATAAAGCTGTGTATGGCAGGCTGGTAAAGTAGACAGCCCGTCACTCTAAGAACCAGGAAACCTGGGTTTCATTTCTGATCTCTGACCCCAAGAAAATCATTTTGCCTCTCCTATGCCCATGTCTCTTCCCATCCTTTCGCTGTAGCCACACAACACATTTACAATGTAATCAACTGACCTGATTAAGTAGGGAAAAAATGGGAGCAAACACATGACACTCAGTTCTGGAGTGCAGTAAATTACTTGTATCTGGGGTAGCTGAAAAACGTGTAGCAGCTTTACTATATGGGAAAGTTATCAAGCAAAATAAGTCATGTGCCTACTTCCCTAGATAATTACATCCTCAGGTAATTTGCTGAATGCAAACCAGTTCCCCATCCACCCAGCATCCAAACATGTAATAAATAGCAAGAACTGCTGGAACCCAGCTAGGGAGAAGGGGTGCAGAGTATATTTACTGCAACTGCGGTAAATCATTCTGTAGGAATCAAGATCATACCTTTGCCTTTTCTATTTAGATTTTAAGATCTTTGGTGCAGGCACTGCCATCAGAGCCTCAGCTGCTATTGTAATACAAACAGGGCTAAGATGACCTCACATCACTAAAGCCTGGGTGGTGGCTTTTGTGGTTCCTTGTCATTCAAATCCTCTGTGTATATTTTGCATTAGTATATTTTTAGTCTCCTCTTGAGAAAGAGAGTTGCAAATTATCCCAACATGAAACCAGGTGAACTTGGATGGTGTCAGCTGAGGACATTTTATGTTCAAAATCAAAGCAAAGCTCAGGTTATTGGCAGTGGCAGCAGTGATCTCTCACAAGGATGATCAAGGATGATCATTCCCATGGGTCAAGTGAAGGGTTATGAATGAGTTCACTGATGGCTAAGAAGGCCGATCCTAAAGCCACAGACTCCATGGCAAGCTGTTTGCGTAGCTTTAATAACTTTATCTCTTACAACAAATATACACCGATTTGGGATTATTTATGATTGGATGTTTAAATTGGAGGTTGGACAAAGCCTTGGCTGGGATGATATAGTTGTGGATGGTAGGGGTGTGAGAAACAGGCCGTACTCGACTTGGATTTGGATTCGGATTCAGCCTGTATCGGGGACAGTGATTTGATTTGTTGATTTGGATCACTGTTCCTGATTCAATTTGGCTGAATCCGAATCTGAAGATTTGATGCTGATTCGGAAAATCAGTGATTCAGACATAGACACAGCTTTTCATGTTTTTTCTACATGCCTTTAGGTCCAGGCAGCTCATGATTGCTGCAATGCTGGGGTGGATGGAGTGTCCCGGGGGGGGAAATGTGCTCAGCGATGAACCTGGAAGTGGACCAGAAGTACTTCCAGTCCACTTCCAGGTCCACCACTGAGCTTGCTCACCCCCCCAGCCCCCCCCCAGCTCAGTGATCAGCCATGGGGGCACCCTGGGTGCCCCCAGACCCACGAGACACCAGTTGCTGAGCTGGGGGGGTGAGGAGGGGGGCCTCTATACACTCCCCAGTAGACCCAGAAGTGCTTCTGGTTCACTTATGGGTCTGCTGCCAAGCATGCTGGGGAGTCCCCCACGCTTCTGTGGGACGCTCCATGCACCCCAGCATCGCAGCAATCACAAGCTGCCTGGTACCTTGAGGCATGTAGAAAAAACATGTAAAGCTGTGTCTATGTCTGAATCGTTGAATCTTTCCGAATCTCTCTGAATTGATTTGGAGGGTTCCAATTCAATTCAAAGAGATTAAACGGTCCACTGATTTGATTCAATTCAGATTTGAAGATTCGGCCACCAAATTGGGCTGAATCTCTGCCGAATCAAATCAAAGACTGAAGCTTCGCACAGCCCTAGCGGATGGTCCTGCTATGAGCAGGGGCTTGGACTAGATGACCTCCTGAGGTCCCTTCCAACCCTAATTTCCTATGATTTTATGATTCTATGAAATCCAGGTTGGTGTCCCCATATGAAGTGGTATGTTGGGTACTATGGAAATACTGAGGACACATCTTTGCTGGCAAATACCTTACTAACTCCACTGAAGTCAAATAATGATGCCTTCTGCCTGTACCAAAGCTCGGAGCACTGTGGGACTCCTTGGAAGTCTGTGATAGAAACCAAGACCAAAATTCATCCTACTTCAACATGCAAGATCTGACAAGTTCTGCACTCTTCTCCACTGCTGCATTTCAGACAGCATGATTTCCTGTTACATTTTAGAGGATATGGTATGGTAATTAGTGAAATGATTTGGGATGGGGGGAAGCGCTTTCAGTTTATGCAGCAGACTGGTCAATCTAACATCCTTCACAAAGGAACTGGATTCAAGGAGTGAGAACATGGGACACGTCTCTAAAAGGCCCACAGATAACTGACCACTGCCAAATATACTGTCAAAACATGGATTTCCTGCAACACTGCTTGCCAGCGTGAGCTTTGCGTTGAATCTTTCTGACACATTGTTCCTTTCAGCAGTTGCGTACAGCCAGAAATAAATATCTAAAGAGACTGCATGTTAAGAAACCAACCACAATTGGGGCTAATGTGGAAGTGCCAGCTTTAAGGGGCTGTGATATTAAACCTCCATGAATAGATTTGAATTGTGGTGCCAAATGAATGCAGTGTTTGCACAGGGTGTGCAAACCCTAGGAATTTAGGTTAAGAGTCATGATGACACTATGACACCAAAAACGCATAAGTGGCAAAATATTCCTCTTTTTCCACATGACTTCAGTATGGATTTTAATAGCATTTTGGATGCATTTCAGCTGACATTTGGAAAGGGCTCTTTTCTTTATTATCTTAACCATATGTCAGTATCCCAGACTTTCCTTGCTAGACTTAAGATGTCTACAAAACAGTAAAGAAGTCTAATCCCACATGTCTAGAAAGGGGACAGAGTCAGCATGGTTTGAGCAAAACAATCATTACTACCATTACTCCTCGTCACTTTAATAAGATCACTTTAGGCATTTATGGCACGCTTTACTCAACGGGGCTGAAGCACTTGCCAGATCTAAATTCCTTATTTGCTCCCCATAAAATATGCTTATATGTAAAAGGTACAAAAAAGGCCAATGGCAGACTGGGAATAGGACCCCTGCCTCTTGGCCCCCAGTCCTCTGCCTGCTATCTGGCTTCAAAGATGGCGAACATAAATGTAGAGGCAGATTCTTTTTCTTCACACGAACCTCTGTGTTACAGTGACAGGAAGCAACATAAAGCTGGCAGTAATTCTCCCTATTGTCTATAAGGGCTTGGTGACATTGCCAGCTGTTATGCCTCCTTCCATTACTACCGCTGGCAGAGGGGGAGGCAGAGAGGGGTCCACATTAAACACAAACGCACTTTTTGGCTGGCTTACCAGGTCCCAGACCAGGGAGAGTTGCAAATGGCTCCTTTGAATCTCTTTCATTTGCACCCAGTAGATACTGGACACAAGCTGAGAATCTTGGCCCTGATTGTCTTACCTTCTCTCTCATGGCATAAATATAACAATTAATTAAAACATTATTATTAGAATAATATTTGAATAGTCCGATAGGGATAGTTAGAAAGAGCTGGCTACATCCTACATTTCACACAACCTTTTGTCCCCACATCTGTGCATTTTCATCACCAGAATTAAGAGCGAGTGGAAATACTCACACAATTACACGTTTCTGTGTATAAAATGACTGGTTAGGTACCCATGTTCCTGGGGTCTGTGCCAATTAGTGGAGGCATAACAAAATAATTCCAGCCCATCAGCACTGTACACTACATTTCATAGTTTTAGTGATTCCCCTCTAATGAGGGGTTGCAATTTGGTTGCATATTTTGGTCTCCGTTTGTAAACACAAATACTGCAGTGTGAAAATCTGGTTGTAATCTTCCCGCAAGTCTGCACAATTTTTAAGGGGCTGAGGTTTGCATTTCTAATATTTCCAGGAATTGGGGGGGGGGTTTCTTTGCTCATTTTCTAAATCATTTTAAAAAACAGCTTGATTGCTTCTCCATGTGAGCAACGACAGCTTGTTGTACCAGGACCTGGTCATGCTTCCATTCAGATGGAAAGCAAAGCTCCCATCAACATCAGGGCATCTGAGTTGTGTCTGAACTTCTGAATTCAGATTTCCAAAACACCATTGGTCGAGGGTGTTTCAATCTCTCCTCTGACTTTGCCTTGCCCACTTGTTTGGTGTTAAAACTTCCTGCTCTTGCTTTATCCCTGATCTCATGGCTTGTCACTAAGTTACTCTCCAATAACCTGCTTAAAATGAAGCACATGCTGAAGTTTGTTGTAGGGGGAGAAAAGTGTTCAACATCTTGTAGATTCCACCTCCATGTCCAGGAATTTGTTGAACTAAAAGCAACTCCAATTAAAACTCTCTAATACTATTTAAGAAGAAATATTTTACAGCACCAATCTCTTTCCTCCTAATTGAAATGTTCTTGAACTAATTTTCTCAGATATCTTCTCTTGAATCAAGTTGATAGTAAATCCCATATTAGATGCATGGTTTTTTAGTCCCCTAAATGCTTTGTTCTTTGAGGATGGTATCATGAGGGATTTTTAGCCATGCTTGTGGGGGGGGGGGGGGGGAGGGGGCTTTAATTAGAGCAGCTGTAATTAAAGCACCACAGCTCATGTATCAGTAAACCCATGCTTCAAAATGGCAATGGGGGTGCTTTAACTGATGCTTTCTTAACAAGCTTTAGTTAAAGCACCTGTGCTGCCATTTTGAAGTGCGGGGATGCTGATAGATGAGATGTGGAGGCTGGCTGGAGAGTGTTAATTAGCATGCTCCACCAGACTCGATTAATCGAGTCTGCTCTGACATGCTGTAGTTACAGCGTGTCGGAGCAGTCTCCCGGCACGTCTACAGGCACCCATGAAGTTTGACCCTTCCTTCTGTGCTATGAATGAAAGAAAGAGGACAGCCTGCATGCTTTACACAGAAGTACAATATCTCTAAGACAAGACTATTAGAGGAAAATAGGGTTCGCTGGAAAAGCATTACGCAGTCAAGCAAAAAAAGGAGAATTTAATTCCAGAGAGCACAATGCATTCAAAATTACTTCCAGGGGGTTCCACTAAATTTCAACCCATCTAGTGAAATGCATCTCCTTTTCCAAGGGTATACTTGGTAGCTGTGTTGGTCTGAGACAAAAAGACATACAAAAAACTAGAACTCTTGGTTTCAAAATGATACCTTTTATTAGATCAACTTGGAAATGGCAAGAAAATTGTCCTTTTCTGCAAGCTTTTGGGATCAAAGTCCCTTAGTCAGCCTCTGGGGAAAGTGTAG